AAGGAAGACTAAACAACTTCGGAGTAACCATTAGGGAAATTACGCATGACTAGATGACAGTGGAAAGGGAAAGGATAGAAAAGTTACCATACACCAAGGGAGCTGTTCCACAGTTTCAAGAATATGGAGAATGTGTTTATGCAAGCGCTGTTATTGGCCACATAAGGAGGATAGGCCCTCATTTTCTGTTTATCAGTCTACACAGGAGGCAAGAAGAATCTTTCTGTGCCCCTGACTCCAGCATCCTTGTAAGCAAGCACTAGCACGCCAGAAAACACTGCTTAGAGCAAGTTTTCATCAACAGAAGGCCTGAATGTTCAGGCCCTTCGCCTCTCTTTCCTTGAACCTTAGGTAAAAATACCGTACTTCTTGCAAGATTTAGTTAAGTGTTGTTTTTACTTACAGGGAGTAGGATCTTAACAGAAATAAATAGGGCTATTTGAAGTTCAAATGACATTCAGTGACAAAAAATGTGATGGAATCACCATTTAAACCTTTCTCAATCACTCAGCGTTATAGAAACATGCTACATGACATGATGTTACCTCCTATCCAGGGTGTTAATCACCACCTAGCTTCTACAATCATTTTAAAATACATTAAAATAAACAAGTAGTATTATCACAAACTAAAATAAAAAAATTATACAAGATAAACTGCATATTTATAACCACCCTGACTGTGTGGCAACTGTGGATAAGTGTTGTCCCTAGTGAGGGGAAGGAACAGATGGCAGCCTGCTAAAAAGCACATACTGTATATCAATTTATTAATTACTAAATGCAACCTGCTAGAAGTTCACAAGATACTTTAGCTATTAAATTTCAGAGGGATTAGAAATTCAGAAGGATTAGAAATTCAAAACAAATTGTGTTAATAATAATTAACTTAGCTATATATATTGCAAGCATGTTATTTCCTCAGCTTGAAAGCCTAAAATGACTGGATGCCATCTGTCTAACTACCAGTACTTCTTTTTTGATATCAGAAGTGCATTTTGCTTAGGTAAGCAGACATACTATAAACAAATAAAAAAATTCATTTCATGAACAGGTAGGACATTTAGAAACCTTACCCTTTGCAGGCTGATTGCTAGACCACAAAATCTCTCTCTTCTGGGTCACTAATTTGTCTCTACAGAGCTGGCTTGGAAAGCCATTACTATTTATTAACCATTTGATGGCGTACAGAACACATGCTGATGGTTTTCAACAAATCCTCGCAAAATCCTAACTGTATCACAAAGTCAATATCGCAGCTGGTATTTGCTGGCAGTATCAAATAAAGAAAGGACTAACTGGAGCAAGAAGAAAAAGGGCCTTTATGCAGAGAGAAACAGAAAGATTGCTCAGAAGTGTACCTCTAGCAAAGATAAGATCAGGCAACTCAGAAGGAATAAGGTCCCCCTTTAAAAGTTATTGCACAATGTATGCCAGATGGTAAGCACTACAAACAAAAGACCTATAAATAAGGAATACTGCTAGATGAAAGCAAATTATCTTTGTCACTCATACCTTTGACACTTTTCTAGTTCTTTCTTCAGATTAAAAAAACCTACCAGCAAACAGTGTATCTCTTGCATAGCAGTAGCAATGCTTCCCAAATGTGTACAAGTAACTGCACTCATCCCTTTCGTGTGTGCAAGCATCACTGGGGCATACACAATCACACCAATTGTGCATATAGTCGTACACTAATTCTGTGATTAATATCTGGAAACATAAAACCTAACAAGAAAACACAGAAATTTCTAAGCCAGCACGTTTGCTCACTTGCTGGCTCTCTCTCACTTCCACTTGTCTTTTCCCACTTCCATTTCATATCCTTTGTACTTACAAGCAGTAGCTATCTAACTTGTAGGGCACATAAGCTCCTCATGCAATCTTGGTTCCCATTTTTGCACTCTTAGCCAAGAGCATGAAGGCCTGGGTGATTATTGTATCTCTGCATGCCCTGGTTTCCTTGGATAGCAAACTGAGAAGGCTGGGCCAGAAAGAAGCTGTGCTGCACTCTCATCAGCCCCCTGGCTGGACTATCAGGAATGTAGGACAGTGGTGTGCACCAGCAAGCGCACCCACGGTGCAAATGATCCACTGGCTGTGTTCCTCCTCCCTTCTCTTTATCTGAGTCCCAAGCAATGTACTTCTATCCTCAATAGCTTCTACATTCTTTTAAAAGTTTATTTTTAATTCTAAATTTTCTTAGCCTGTAATAGGCCTCTGATCTTATTAATGACTTCTTGTAATGCTTTTATACTTGAATAATGGAATAACATTAACTCCAGCCACAAATATATCATGAGAATATTATTGAGTTTTTGGCTAGAAAAAAAATCTCAATAATCTAAGCAACAATGGATTCCGTGACTCAACATACCGAAGACTTTTGGTGGGGAAGTACAATGCAACACCCAATTAAGTGACAAAGTTGGACTGCAATAGTACTAGTTCATTGTGTCTAGTTCATAGGTCTAGATGTATGGGGTGGGGGGGGGGGAAGGAAGGGGGAGAGGGGGCAAAATAGGAATTTCAGTTTCTTGTTGTTTAAAATAATTTCTCTAGTAAAACTAAGAACTAAAACTAACTTGTTTTATGCTGAACAAAAGTGGAAACGCTTCAGTTGGCTCAAAGGCATTTGGAAGAAAGCCAGATAATGAAGAGCTAATGTCACAAAAGTGCCAGAGGAGGCAGTGGTAGTGGTCACAGTGTCCCATTTTTACTCAGTACCTCAGCAGTACTGATATTCATCTGGCGTCAAGGGACCCAGACTCGTTTCTTTCCTCTCTGCCTGAGTGAACTGAACCTACGTATCCCACCTCCTGAGAAAATACACTAACCATTGCTATAACATAGTGTAGTCAGACCACCAGATCTCTTCAGTTGCTGCCGTTCTATTTTGTGTAAATAATTAAAGTTCACTGGAGCACTGAATCCCAGCTAACAAAGCTTTTCTATAGCATACATCCTTCTAACCTCCAGGCTGAGGCGTTCTTCCCACTCCCTTTGTCTCAAACTCAATGAATATTTTAAGGGAGAACAGCAGCAGAGATCAAGGGAGATTCATTTCAGAACTCCCTCATCAGGAGACTGTTGACTTGGATTGAGCATCATGCCCCAACTCAAACAACAAGTATACTTGAACTTGAATCTTTCACTTCCTCAGTGAGTAGCCTAACAGAGGAAACATAGCATATTCTGTCATGCTTTTCTTCAAACTTTTCAAAAAAATATCCAAACAAGCACCACACCTTGAATCAACTGCCAACCTCCTCCAGATTAGCACAGTTAAATTTACAAGGGACTTGAACAAGTTTTTGTATCTGATTGGGAAATTAGAAAAAATTCCCAGCAGCATTCAAATATTTCTAAGACTGTAGGAAGAATAAAAGTGAGAGACAGGCTAAATGACTGTCATCTGTTTGTCTCCTGTAAAAAAATGTATAATAGTACTGAGGCAAGCAACTCTCAGAGTAAAAAGCAGAAAAGAGAGTGGCTGTAGTGGACTAAC